GAAGCCTGGTTTTTTTCAGTAGGGTCTTCTTCCTTTCTATATTTACCTAAATCAATTGAGGCTTTCTTTCATTCTTGATCAGTTTCGATAAAGTTTTAACTTCCTGTTAAAATTAAACATTCGGAAAGGAGAAACTTGACTTATGAAATGACTTGATATTTAATATTTCAATTTAGCACTTTCTTTTATTCTAATTATTTTGGTGTTTTGATAAAGTTTTAACTTTCAAAAAAGTGCCTGTTAAAATTTAACATTCAGAAGAAAGAATAACTTGATATTTAATGCTTCTGCAAAATATGAAACTTTCAATTAAACTAAAGGGGGGTTAGTCTTGTGGTAGAGTATTCACTGCTTCCACTTATGAGTAGATTTTAACGCTTTGACTTGCTATTGCATATATATATTACCAGCGATCAGACTGGACTGGAGCTGGTGGTATCTGAGTGGGGGGTCCAACTAAATTTTAGCACAATCGAATTAGCATTTGGGCGGGTGTGCACGTTCTCGATTTGCGGCTCCCAGCGCAGCGCTGCACATTATTGCACTCGGGAGATTCCAATAACGAGTGCTGATATAATTACCCGACATGTGAGCCGGGCTTCGCCCCAGCCACACAGTCCACAGTCCTGCACATACACACATTCCTGCCCATATATGCACATTAATGTGTGTACAACGTAACAGCGCATAAATTGTACGTTGGGGACGAGCCCCTCTAACACGGAAAGGGGTATATGGGTATGAGGCATGAAATGAATGTGAATGTGAACGTGAACGTACGTACTTGTCGTTTATCTGACAGCCTGAATTAATTTAATAAAATCCGAAACATTTTATGAGCAATTAATTAAGATATTAGAAGGGACAGACACTGGGCTGTTGTTAAAATCTAAAGTGGTGACTTCTAAACTAATTGATTAGAAACTATTGTTGCAATTTTGGCAGGCAACAACAGACCTATTAAATGTATCCTTTTTAATCATCTAGTCGTGACTTGTTGAGTTGGGGAAACAATAAACGATAAACGATTAATTAATTATGTTTAAAGTAAAATTAATAACGCAATTGAATACTAATGCCAACACACTGCTCGCTCGGGTTGCCTATTAAAATAATAATAAACAAACAACCTTATAATGTCTTTTAATACTTAACCAGATTGGAGTTTGTTTGTGATAAATAAAACCTGTTAAATAACTCAAATCTGAGCATAACTTTAACATCCAAGCCTCGTACATTTTTCAAGTCTATAAATGCATATTTTGGTATTCCACAATTACGAACATTTTTGAATTATTTAGCGGTGAAAGTATGTCACCGGAATAAGTCACATAATGGAAAATATCCAAGCCGTAGTGCCTTTGCTCGAGTTTATTACCTTTGACTATGCCAAAAATATAATTCACAAAGAGGAGAACATCGTTTGCATAATTGCTTTTTAATTACCATACAAACGCGCATATTTTCATATCTGTCTGTACATAAACATATATATATATATATATCTATATGTACGATATATGTAAGTACACACACACACACCCGGCAGATACTCTGTGAAAGTAAACAACAAGTTTTATTTCATTAGCCTCGCGTTAATGTTGGCTGTTGTCTGGCTCTGACTCTGGCATGATTTTTGTAAGAGTGTAAGACGGTTGTAAGAGTAATATAAACTAATATAATTACTGTCAATTAATCACAGAGAGAGCAGGCATCGTTCTTCCTGAAAAGTTCTTAAGAAAAAAATTAGTTTCTATCTTGTTTAAAAATTCAACTCAGAAGGAAACAAAACTAAACAATTATTATTATAAAGAAAGATAAATAAAATTCTCAAGCAATGAAATTTAAAAAAAAAAACCTCTTAGGCCCTACTTGATTTATATTCTTGTTAACAAATATATTCATTAAAGCCTGGCAGCACTGACAAGGCAAGGAATGTGTCGAACATTTAGCCAGTTGTTGTGTTGTGCCGTGTGTTGTGGGTGTGGGTGTGTGCTGGGCGATCGTGTAAACGCAAAAATATGCGCAAAACAATAAAAACCTAACAATGAGCAAACAAATGGAATATGTGTATATATGTATGCATGGAAATTAGCCTGTGTAGGCAGGCAGTGATAAAATGCTCGCAAACTTGTTTAATAATTAAAAGTCAGCACACAAACTCGCTCGCTCGCTAGCTGCATAAGAATATGAATTTGCATATTGGCGAGCAAGAAAATTATCATACATATATTCCGACAAATATTCTTGACTTTTTGTTGTGGGGTGGATCCCCTACGGCTAGGAACTTATCCAACATTGTTAGAAATGAATCGAGCTATATCTATACGCCCAGCGGTGGATACCTAGGAAACCATTAAATGATCATCTCCTTTTTAACTGCCAGAGAATATTAACGCTTACGTTTTAATGCATTTTTGTCCGAATAAGCTTGGGCAACCATGAAATGGAGTCGTTAAAATTACATTGTCGAATAGTAATTGATTTTTCGAGCAAAAAAAAAAAAAACAAGAGAAACACATGAAGACGTCTTTTTCTAGAGGTGAAAAGGTCTTGTCAACAGTTAAAAATTGCGAAAAATAGTAGTAACAGGTATTTAATTATAAATTTAAGTATATATAATAAATATAGGAAATGTAAGTAATTAGTGTTTACTTATTACCTTTCAAGGTAACCTTTGAACTTGGTAAACACAAGTTCGAAAAGATTTTCATCGAATCAAATGCAGCAGGTTTTTCTCGTATTTCCCTCGCATTCCCTATCTCTCTCTATCTCTTTCCCTCGTTATTACGTCATTCCATGGCCTGTTCAATTTGCGGAAGACAGCTGACTTTAATTTACTGTTATGTGTGAGCCAACGGGGCGGATGGGCGATGTGGTTAGATGGGACTTCAGAGGACGCACGTGTTTTTGGCCCCAATCTCGATTTTTTTTTTTACTGCCCTGCAATTGTCAGTCAATACGTCACTTGCAGACGCATAACAGTTACAGTAGTAACCGCGCTTCAGGTCTGTCCATCTGTCCGTCAGTTTGTTCGCCTGTCCGTCCGTCTGTCCGTCTGTCCGTCCTGCAGTCAGACAGTGCCAGGCAGTCATTCTGTTTGTGCAACCGCTGCGGTGATTGTTAGCACTATATTTATTTAGACGGCGTTGATTATTTTTCTAATTTATCCGCACATATTTGCATTTGCAAAGGAATGACAGCCAGCCAGCCAGTAGGTACTAGAAACAAAGCGCACAAAACACTGCAATTAATCAAACAAAAAGAATCTGAAACTATGCCAAAATAAAATAAAAATAAATAATAGAAAAATCAAGTCTGTGAAGCACAAAGTTTGCTGCCAATCAGAGTTCAAATTAACTGAAACGCAACACTCTTCGAGTGACTTTTGTCACCATTGTTGCGTGTAGCAGATTCAAAAACAAATAATATTATAAAGGTGTATAATTGTATGGTTCAATCAATTTCGATGTAACTGCGATAGGGTTGTGTGTGTGTGTGTGTGTGTGCTTTGGCATTCGTCACTGGCTGAACGTTTGGCATTTGATAAAGCCAGGCTAATGTTTATTTAAATGTCGATTTGATTGCCCTAATAGTTGATAGTTGTTTGGTATATAGACGAAGCACTTGTTATTCAAATTACAACTTGTCAGCGGTTGTTTTTTTTAATATATTTTTTTCCCAAACAATGCCATGATCTGGTTTAAATACTCAATATTCTTGTTAATGAATTAAAACAAACACTCGTGGTGCAATTAAAATTTGATTACTGCATTCCGTGTGCCGTGTTTATATATATGCTGGCAAAAACTATATAAATAATATAGGTTTTCGTGCAATTTCGTGTTTTGATTGACTGTTTTTCTGTTGGCTTTGCTGAGTAATAATTTTTGCTGCTCGTCCGTTCGGGCCCATAAAATGCTGCAATCGTGGCCAATTGCTTAACTGTAAAAACAGTAGCGGACAAGTTTATAGTAACTTTTTTACATTTATGTACACATTAGATAATTACTATTGTTTTTAATTATATATAAACATTTTACAACGATAATAACAAATCCGAAATAGCATTAAATTCAATTCGAAGAGCGCATTTGTTTTAGTTTTTATAGGGTTAAATAAGTAGTGCATTTTTTTTCAAATCAAAAACTTAAAAAATCTATAACTTAGCCAAAAATGATTTAACATTAATCAGAAAGCTGTTCTCAGTTAGTTTTTATGAGTTTAATAAATTTGCATACTACATTTAGGCTTTTAAGAAATTCTATTCTATACATTTTTAAGAATTTCAACGATCAAATTTTGAAAAAATGTCTAAACATGGTTAAATTTATTCGGCTTTTGATGCTGATCAAGAAAATATATGTTTTATGGGATTGAAAATGACTTCTTCACTGCTTTGCAAGCTTCTGACTTAAAATAAAGTACCCTAAAAGGGTTTAAAAAATATAAAGAGATGGATTTATTTGTAAACTTTTTTAAAAGTTCAACCGTATCATGTGCTTGTATAATATTTGTATTTAAATATATTTTTATGGCCAAATTCGTCGCGCTTTGATTTAATTAGTTGCGATAATCGAAATGAAAGTAAGGGCAAGCTTTCCTCAGATTACAAATTAGATTCGAATTATTTATAGTAATGCACGATGAGCTTTTCAGATTACGAATTATTTGTGGTTTTGAGCAATGCCATTTCCACCGCAATCGTGCGAATATATCACATGCCCATGTGCCTGTGCCTGTGCCTGTGCCGGTGCCTGTGCATTTCTGATTCACATGCCGCATTGTGATGAAAGGAGGGAGATACGTGTGTGCACGCCGGGATTGGGGAATGCGAACACCGAGGACTGGGAATTGGCCGCTGGTATAGGCATAGAGGGAGCCAAGGATTAGTATTAGTGGCTGGGCAGGGCATTTATTATTAATAACAGCCGGGTAATGTACGGCTAACATGAATATAAATACAAATGCTAATGCTGCCCCAACATTTTCCGTTGCAGAAACTGAACATTAAACAGCAGCGCGCGGGTAAGCAAGATCAGGACCAGGACCAGGACCAGGACACAAGGAGCGGCGGCAAACCAAGCCAAGTACAGGGTGGTGATCAGGCGTAACCACAGAGAGGCCAGCGAGTCCCGAACGGAAACCGCCGAAGCCAGCAGCCAGTAGCACTCAGCACTCGAGAGAGGAGACGCAGGCGGCGCAGTCGGAGTGTCGGGCAACAACATGTCTTCGCCGGCGGCGCAGAGCAACAGCAGCAGCAGCCAGTCGCAGTCAGTCGCCCAGCAGCAGCAGAATCAAAAGGCCAACGCAAACAACACACATGATAACAAGAATGCCTCGGCGACGACGGGGACAGCGGCAGCGGCGGCAGCAGCAGCAGGATCCGGTGGTGCTGGATCCAACACAGCTGCAGGCACACAACAGCAGGGGGCAACCTCGAGCGGTCCACAGAGCCCGACCAAGCGCAGCACAATATCGACAAAGGAGCGTGTGATCGACAGCGTGCCGTTCCCGCCAAACCGTAAGCTTACCTGCGCCGATGTCTTTGACGCGCGGACCGGTAAGCCGCACCACGACGTCCTTAAACAGCACTTCATCCTGGAGGGCCGGATTGAGGAGAGTGCCGCGCTGCGCATCATTCAAGAGGGCGCCACTCTGCTGCGCCAGGAGAAGACAATGATTGACATTGAGGCACCGGTGACGGTATGCGGCGACATACACGGCCAGTTCTATGATCTAATGAAGCTTTTCGAGATTGGCGGCTCGCCGGCGACCACCAAGTATCTGTTCCTGGGCGACTATGTCGACCGGGGCTACTTCAGCATCGAATGCGTGCTGTACCTGTGGTCGCTGAAGATCACCTATCCGCAGACGCTGTTCCTGCTGCGCGGCAACCACGAGTGCCGGCATCTGACCGAGTACTTCACCTTCAAGCAGGAGTGCAAGATCAAGTACTCGGAGCGCGTGTACGACGCGTGCATGGACGCGTTCGACTGCCTGCCGCTGGCGGCGCTGATGAACCAGCAGTTCCTGTGCGTGCACGGCGGCCTGTCGCCCGAGATACACGAGCTGGAGGACATACGGCGGCTCGACCGCTTCAAGGAGCCGCCCGCCTTCGGCCCCATGTGCGACCTGCTGTGGTCCGACCCGCTGGAGGACTTCGGCAACGAGAAGAACTCGGACTTCTACACGCACAACTCGGTGCGCGGCTGCTCGTACTTCTACAGCTACGCCGCCTGCTGCGACTTCCTGCAGAACAACAACCTGCTGTCGATCATCCGGGCGCACGAGGCGCAGGACGCCGGCTACCGCATGTACCGCAAGAGCCAGACCACCGGCTTCCCCTCGCTGATCACCATCTTCTCGGCGCCCAACTATCTCGACGTGTACAACAACAAGGCGGCGGTGCTGAAGTACGAGAACAACGTGATGAACATCCGGCAGTTCAACTGCTCGCCGCACCCCTACTGGCTTCCCAACTTCATGGACGTGTTCACCTGGTCGCTGCCCTTCGTGGGCGAGAAGGTCACCGAGATGCTGGTGAACGTGCTGAACATCTGCTCCGACGACGAGCTCATGACCGAGGAGAGCGAGGAGCCGCTCTCGGACGACGAGGCGGCGCTGCGCAAGGAGGTTATCCGCAACAAGATCCGTGCCATCGGCAAGATGGCTCGCGTCTTCTCCGTGCTGCGCGAAGAGTCCGAGTCGGTGCTGCAGCTGAAGGGCCTGACGCCGACGGGCGCCCTGCCACTCGGCGCCCTCTCCGGAGGCAAGCAGTCGCTCAAGAACGCCATGCAGGGCTTCTCGCCCAACCACAAGATTACCTCGTTTGCGGAGGCCAAGGGCCTCGATGCCGTCAACGAGCGGATGCCGCCGCGCCGAGATGCGACGCCCTCGCCGGCGGAGGAGGGCCAGAAATCACTGTCCGCGGCGGCAGCAGCAGCGGCCAATGCAAATGCGAATTCAATCAATGGATAATTCTAAGTCAAGTCAAGTCAGTAAAGTAAAGTCAAGTCAGTGATGAGAGGGCGGCAGCAGCACCAGTTGCAGTCATGTTAGTCGGTGGATTATCGGATCAAAGGATCGCTGGATTGGAGGATCTGAGGATCGGAGAATCGGAGGAGGAGCTAATTCAGTTAGTAGTCGACAGTTAAGCAGCAAACGGTGGGAGGGAGACGACGGACGGGACGGCAAACAGCTAGCGAACAGTTCAGTACGGATATAGTCTCAAAAAAAGCTCTCTCGGCTCAAAAAAAAAGAAGAAAACAAACGTAAAAACACAAGAAGACACGCAGGCAGACATATTGGTATTTAACGTGAAGCAAACTCCCAGAGATGGAAGCTAATTATAACGTTGAAAGGATAACAAATTTTGTGCAACATTATATCAAAAGATCAAATTTAAACGCCAGTGGCGCGCATTCTCCCCCATTTAAAAAAAACTAAACAAGTGAAAAAGGAAAAAACAAAAGAAAGAAAAAGAAAACACAAAGTAACAGCAAATTAGGTAATTTAAATTATTTGCTAAAAACAAATTGTAAAACGAATCGAAATCCAACTCTCTCTCTCCCTCATCTCTAAAAAAAAAAAAAAACAAAACAAAACAAAGAAATCTAAGCGAAAGGAGAACTAAATCTAGCATCTAAAAAAATACTGAAACTAAAGCTAAAGGATAAATTCTACTACTTGGGGCCGTCCACATATTGCGCAATTACCGCCTCTCCTCTCCCAGCTTAACAATTGATTATATAGTACGGTCGTACGGGATAACTGTGAATGCGCAATATATGGACGGACATATGCCCCCTTTCGTTGTGTGGCGTCTGCGGCGACTTCTATGGAAAAAAGGAAAGAATGTATGAAAGAATGCTAGAGAAAAAGAACAGAAACAACTTCCTACAACAGCAACAACAAAACAGCAGCAGCAACAATATTTTACTACAATATTTTTAAAAAACAAGAACAAGAAACGACTGAATCTCTATCTATCTTAACTATCCGACTCTTTCTCTCTCTCACACACACACACACACAAATATAAAAACACACACTACACCCACACGTACACACTTAGAAACAAGCTAGGGAATCGTTCCAACTCAAAGTTGATCGATCATCCCGTCGCCTATCGTTTATCGGTAATTGTTTATCGTCGCCATTGTCGCCTCACACTCTCTCTCATCTGGTGATTGTGTATGTGGTCTTTATATACGTGCCATCTTTGTCGTAGTCATTAGCTGAATATATTAATTAATGTGTTGCGATGCAGGTGCAAAAGGAGCTGCTGTCATAGCCCAGTAACCTTTCCCTTTTCCCCCACTCTCCCTTTCTCTCTCTCTCGCCCTTCACTCGACCTCCTCCCACCAATCGAAGAAGTCGAACTTATCGAAATAATCGAATCTCAATCGGCCTCATTTGCGCCTGCGTCGTTACAGTTTGTAAATCCTTTTTATACTTAATCGAATTTTAGTTACTTGTTGAGAAGGAGATAGGAAGATGGTAAAGATAAAGAAAGATAAAGATGAAGATGATTAAAACGAAAGTTGTAATTAAAAGTGTGTGCAATAGGAATTTTGTTATTTCTGCAATATATATATATATATATATATATATATATATATTTTTTTTTTTTTTTTATATATATTTCTTGTTATCTTTTTTATAATTTGTATTTATTGTAAACTATTTATATATATATATACACCTACACAATCAGCAAACACACACACACACACACACACACACTAATATAAATATATATTTATAAACTAAATTGTTGTTTCTACTTCATTATGCTTATGTTTTTATATCTCGATATACAGATATAAGTATATACACATATATATTGTATATCTATATTGTTTACTACACCTTTTTCTATAAGCATTAAGTAATTTAATTAAATAAATTTAATAAAATGAGAAAACTAAACAAAAACAAAAGCAACCGGGCGAGGCGTGCAAAAGTTTTTCTTAAACAAAAATAATTATATTCTACAATAAGACGTAAGGGAAAAATCATTAACAACAAGAAAAACTATGTGAATTACCTATTAAGTTTAAATTATACAACAACAAAAGAACAACAAAATGATAAATTTAAACCGAATAACGTTTACAACCAATTAACAAAATATATGTTTAAAAAAAAATATGAAAAAAACGAGAAGAATTGTGCAACATGCGAAAAGAACAAGAAAAAAAAAACGATGGAAAAAATCCGAAACACCTTTTCAGACAAACAAAACAAACCCAATTTAAAGTTTAAAGGAAATGTAATACAAAATGCAAACTTATAGCAATTTGAAGTACTTTATAAACAAATATACATACGTACGCATAAGAGAACGCATATATATATACATATATATATATTTGAAATAGTTAAGGGTCGAAGCTGAGACGAGAAGAGACAGAGAAAAAAGAGCGAAACCGATAACCAAATACGAAAGCGAACTCGATATACAGAAATAAAGCCGGTAACCGAATTCGAAATCGAATCCAAGCAGTATGCTAAAAGCGCAATAAATGCAGCAGCAATCAGAAATAGCTAAGCAGTAAAAGTCGATCACAAATTCGAGTTAAGTTGATAGACACACACACACACACACACACATACATATACATATACAGCCACACATACAAACACGCTATGGGCGAGCGAGAGGGATGGAAAGGATAAGTGCGGTTACATGTAGTTCCAGGATATGCAAGCAGTGCAAGCCGCATGCGGCCTTAAGCAAGCAGTTGTTGTAATAATTGGCAAGGCAGTGCACACAGGCACAGTGGGCCTGATCGCTGCGTTTAACCTTTAACTTTTTCGCTCCCGCTTCTTCCTCGCGTGTTTTTTGCCTTTTGCGCAGGTCGAGATCGGGAACTCCAGATCTCCAGCAGCAGCTACGTACATTACATATGTCATCAAGCAGTTAATGGTTACAGATGATTTACATTTATATATATATATTTACATATATATACGTATACAATATAAACCGATATAAGGATTAAGCGTTTCACACGTCACACACGCAGCAGCAGCAGCAGCAGACACACAAAACAATTTACAAAACGTTTACGCATTTCGATTCAATGAAAAACCAAGAAAATAATAATACCAAATATTTATATAAACCGTAATTACAACCAATAAAGGATTACATCAACCAAGAAGCTCTATTACTATTATTTTTAAAGTAAATCAATGAAGTTTTAACAAAGAAATTACCGCAACCCATATATGTATAGCATATAATTGAATATTTTTCTCCTCAAAACGTTCCCGCAATACAAACGAAAAACAAAAAAAAATTAAAAAAAAAAAAACAAAAATTAGCGCGCTCTTCTAAAATAATAAGTAAAAAGCAAAAGCGAAATTAACTTAATATACACATATATGCGAAGAAACCGAAAGAAGAAAAAACCAAACAAACCAAAATATAACATATTACGACTAAGCGAATAATATCTGATACAAATACTTTTATACTATTATACACGACGCCTAAGAACTAAACAAAAGCAAGACAAAATTATGATAATGACTTCTCGTCTCGCTCTCGCTCTAGCCCAATCCTCCCTCTTCTGCCCTTCACTCTCCACTCTCTACACTTCATTCGCCTATCGTCGTGCTCTTTGCTTTTGCACTCCTCCTTAACGCAAAAGCTCTCCTCGACTTCAACTTCGACCTTGACCCTTTTTCCTCTCTCGCTCTCGCTCTCGTTCTGTCTATCTATCTCTCTCTTTCTCTGTCTTTTCAATGACCTAACAACCCAGAAAAAATGCGGAAACAAAAAAAATAAATAAAATAAAATAAACACTTTTTAACGGTACATTTTCTACTACACCAAAAATATGAATATGAAGACAAGCTAGGAAGAACAGAACAGAAAATAAAAAATAAAGTAAAAACGAAATTACCAATTACAGTAAAGAAAAAAACAAACAAACACTTTCCTTTTAACGAAAATAATATCAAAAAACCAAATCTCTCTATAAATTTAGATATACGACGATATAGAGACGAAGAATCCACTCTCATTTTTAAGAAGAAAGAAAGCGCATTGAACATTAACATTTAACATAATACATTATATGTATATTTACAATTAAACATTTACAAGAAGGACCCTTGGTTTCGTTTCGTTTGAAGACCTTCGTTCGTTGTCGTCGATCAGCTTGGACTACACTCTGTACAATCAAATACTTAAATCGTCTTAAGTAAGCCATTTTGTTAGCCAATTGTTTCCTCTCTTTTAAGACACCTATTCAATTTTATGAAAATAATAAACAATTATAACAAATGGGAAGAATTCTGCTTTTCGTTTCCACTCATCTCAGTCATTGTAAGTGAAAAACCTTTTCATCGTATGTACGAGTATGTATGTAATTATGTACGTTACCTTAATTTTTTTGATACATGTATTTTTCAACATCTACTTCCTGCCCTCGAATGCTTTAAAACTTTACACAAAAAAAGAAAACAATTTACTATATATTATAAACGAAAAAAAAAAAAATTAAAAACAAAAATGGACAAAGAAACCAAAAACAAAAGAAAACAAAACCAAAAGAGAAAACAAGAAAAAAAAAAAAAAAAAGAATTAAAACTTTACCTTTTGGATAAATCAATTTAAATGCATATTTTATATATATTTAAACATTTATTTATATATAACATGTATGATACATATATAAGTTGGAAAAACTTTGTCAAAGCAAAAAGTTTATATACTTATATTAAAAACAAATGAATGAAAGTAAATAATATTAAAAATGCAACATAACATAAATTAACAAAACAAGAAAACATCACATCTAGATAAATCTCTTAAAAATTTTCAATTTTATTATTAAACCGAAACCAAAAACCAAAACCAAACAAGTTAATAAATAAACAAATTTAACAGTGAAAGCATTATTATATACATATACTTATATATGTATGTGAAGAAGAAATTTATAACGGTATTGCAAGGACAGCTGGCTGGCAAAAATTACATAATATTTGCGCCGTTGTGACAACAACAAAATTAAATTATTGTATGCAATCCAAGGAATAACAAAAATTAATTTACAAGAAAATGGAGGAGACGAGACGGTGATGATGATGATGATGAATAGAAGAGAAATGAAGAGAAGGCAACAACAAAATGCAGACAAGTTTTAACATTAAGTGAAAGCGAAAAAAAAGAAACAAAAAACAAAATGAAGAAAACAACCAAACAAAACCAAATGATTATCAATGTTATTAACATAATTAATATTAACAAAATGAGATAAAACAAAACAACCAAAAAACAATACAAAAACATTAAAAAAATATACAAGTACCTATCCTGAGAATAAAATGCGCGCACATTTATTATTTCCTCTAAAACGTTTCGTTTGAGTCTTCTGTGCAGTTCATATTCATCCCCCTACAGGATTTCCAAAGGATTCACATGGTGAGAAAAATCAAGAAAATTCTCGGGAGCTCACGAAACCATTTTCGGGCTCAAAATGATGGAAATAGGTTTTGTTCGTTTGGAAAAACATGATATTTAACGTAAGTATAACATTTAAATTAGTCTAATATATGTACACATGTATGTTACATATTTCTTCGCATCGAAATCAAATACATACATATACAAACACATTCCTTCAGGCGCCTCTCGATTCCGATGTCATCCCCCAGTGCCGCTCAACTGAATAGATTTGAAAAATCGTTCTCACATTTTTCACTCTCCCTTGATTCCAACTGAATGGTTTGCTATTATTTCTTTTTATTTTGAGCCTTTATTTGTTTACGCAATGTATGCAAGAAAAAATTAACGGGACACATGCAAAGAATATTCAGGATTTTACTTTTAACGTAAAATTCGCAAAATGTGTGCTCTATTCTTGGCTTATCTGAATAGGTTTAACTCCTAAGACTTTGCTATTTGTTCGACTGCGTGACAGAAAGGAAGTAAATTCTTTTGTATTGCAAAATTTAAGGCATTTTAAATTATTGTTATTTTCCCAACTGTATTTCCAACTGTGACAGGATATTGGGAAGGAAACAGGTGCAAAATCCAATTGCATGTCTTATCTTAATATAAAAGCTATAGTTTCTGTTTCAGCAGTTAAACTTAAAATTGTCAAAAATTTATTACCTTGGGCAGGAAAAACAGACTATTCGAATATTGTCTAATCATTTGTCAAAGCTCCATGTGGTTTTTTGTATGAATTATGCAGATTAAAGCATTTGTAATTTGCATTTTTTGAACCACCTGTTTTATTCAAACCTGTTTGACAGTTATAATCGTGGCTTTAAAAAAAAACGGTCTCATTGCTGAGCTTAGGAACCACTGTATTTGAACTGGTTCCTCCCAGTTAAATCGCTAAAAATTTAAACAAACTATAGAAGTATGTTAATAATATACGGGACTATTATTAATTTTAACAATTTTGTTGATTTCCTTTGGGGCAATCGAAGGACATCGATTTGACGGACAAAATCCTGCCTGTATATTTCCAGTATATCAGCAGTATTAAAATGTAATCTTCGGTATATTTTCCAGGGGCCAGCGGTATATATTAACGGTCCACTGGCGGTCACACTGCTGAAAATTCCATTAGGAGCG